AGTTTGATCATTCATTCATTCAAGATGTATTTTTCAAAACTAACAATTTTTCATGATAGATCTAACAATCTCAAATTCTAATGATGTTAGTCAAGTTTCATAAAAAAATGCTTATTTTCGGAAAGTCAGCCTTCTCTGATCAAATCATAAAAGTCCAAAACTTCAAGAAACCAATCGTTGAATCGCATTCCTCAACCGAGAAAGATTTTAGTCTAGTTTCATTTAAGAAAATCGATATTTTTGTAAATGAAACCTTTCTTGAACGAAAAATTTTCAATCGAATAGTATTATCCTCATTGTAATCATTTCAATGATATAGTTTCATTTATAAGATGAGGTGTTGTTTTATTCATTATGGTATATTCCAATAATCAAGTCAATAGTAATCTTTAACTTCTAAAATGAATTAATTTTTTATCCATTAATGTGTATATATCAGTAACTAACTCAATGTTGAGTTATAAGTAATAAAACATCCATTATTATTATATGTGTTTAGGATTGTCTTGAGAAAAAATAGCAATGAGCTAATAAAAGAAATATTACTATGGTTCTTGAGTTTATCTTTAAATCAAATTTGAAAAGGAAAATAATTTAAATGGCTTTCTTTAATTTTGACAAAAGAATTTCTCCAGATTTTCTTGTGGAGCAAGAAGAAAATGATTGCTGTTGTCTTACTTACTCTAGGTATGAGCAAACACAACTGTCAGCGAGGTCATATAGATCTGTATAGAACAACAGTAAAATTTGGTTTCACTGGCAAGGGATTAAATTGAATTATTTTAGCATAGCTAGATTTTGAAAGAAAAACATTTGATTACATAAGGGAAACTAGCATAAGTGTGTTGCGTAAACTGTTGTTTATCAGAGTAGAATCATGTTTCGAGACAGAAAGAAAAGTTTCCAAAATAGAATCATATTATACTAGAACCTTAGAAGTTTCAGAAAACAGTACTCAACGTAGTTTTTCTACAGACTAATCGACAACCTCGTATAAAAATCAATGGGAGACTTTCTGAAATGACTAAGACAAAGTATCGTTGTTTCAGCGAAAATGAAGAATATGACAAGGTGGTAATCGTTAGTGTAAGGCTCTGATTGACGATAATCTCTGCAGTTTAGCAGTAGAAATAGACAATTTATAAGTGCAAAACTTGCTTGAAAGTGTTTGTCATTTATAGCTCATAGTGGCTAAAAGAAAAACTCGAAAAATCGTTGGAGGGTCACAAAAAACGAAAAATTTGAGAATGAATACATGTGACATTCATTGACTTCCACAATTTCACTCACTCTTCCACTCAAATCCATTCTATGACTCGTACAGAACAGTTTCATATTGTCGTCCTCACCTCCGCATCATCCTTTCATACCGATATGTTTGTATTACATGAAAGCAGCAATATATTTAGTTGTTGGATGATGCTTTTCACATTCACTATGTTACAGTTCTCAAATTTTCAATTTCGATTTTCCCGGTTTCTGCAAGGACAAGGTTTTCGAACTCCGAACTACTACATTAGTATCTAAATTGATCGTAACCATTATTGTCACCGATCCATTATCTTCTTTCATTATATGCAACTTTTGCAATATGAACACTGACTTGTGATATCTTTTCGTATCATCTATCACAGGAATGCAAAAATTGTTTGACTATATATTCGTCTTCTTACTATTTTCAAAACCTGACTGCTAATTATAAGTGAAGTACATTTACAAACATGCTGTACAATCACAAATTGCCTATTTCGAAATACTGCATTGGAAAGATTATCATCGATTAGTGTTATGATCTCCATCATTTCGGATGCAGCTCATATACGAGTTGATGTCACCACTACTGTATGTATAATATTCTCTCTTATCGAATATTTCCTTTCTGTTAAGACTTTTCCTCTCCTATTCTCCTTTTGTTATATATGTTCCAATCTTATCCCTATTGCTGTTTATCGCAAGGGGAAAAAACGGAATCCTGGAATCCGGTGGAATATTACGGAATCCCACGGAATCATGGAATCCGGTGGAATATTACGGAATCCTACGGAATCCCACCGAATCATGGAATCCGGTGGAATATTACGGAATCCTACGGAATCCCACGGAATCATGGAATCCAATGGAATCCGATGGAATCCGGTAGAATCCAATGGAATCCGATGGAATCCAATGGAATCCAATGGAATCTGATGGAATCCAATGGAATCCGTTGGAATCGAATGGAATCGAATGGAATCCGATGGAATCCAGTAGAATCCTATAGAACCTTGGAACCTTCAGTTCAAAAGCCCTTAGAAATACTACTACTGCAGGAAAATCTGTTCAGATACAGCCATTGGCGTATCCAGGATTTTTAGACCAATGGGCAAACTTCTCTAGTGTTGGAAAAAAATTATGGGCAAAATGGGCGAGGCTTTTATCGATAGGCCAGAAATTTTCTTGGCCCAAAAAGTACTAATAACGGAAAAAAACCACAAAAAAATGAGGTTATTTTAACCAGATATGCATCAAACTCGAAGCTCAAGCCTAAGTCAGATGTGTTTTGGATATTTTTAAGAGAGTCCGCGAGAGAAGACCCCTACTCAATGCGAAGGTCGCCAGAGAAAAAAATATTTCGATTTTTTTATCTCAAATGAGAGGTCTAGGCAAACCATAAACAAATCCACAATATTAAGTCATTTGGATTTATGTATGAAAAATACGAGCTGAAACAAGTTTAAGAAGATCATTTTTGACCTCAAAACTGCTATTCTGAGGGTATATTCAATATTTTGACATTATCTAACGAACGGCTCGACTGTTTGAATTCAGAAACGTCTCATTTTATAGAGAACAGTTCAGGATACAACTTTATCCGATTCAAGTCCTAGACATATAAGCTGATAAAAACGCCATCGGTCAAAACCTGTTCAAAACGCGAGAAATGGCTTGTTCCGGATGGTCGGTATTTTGAAGTTTTCTCCCGTACTGTGCATGGTCCTAGAGTTCTTTTTTCACCAGACAAAGATTTCACCAAGATACATCTTTTGACACTAAATTGTCAAGGTCAAAAGGCCGGCTGGGGACCAAGTTAGCATGGACCACACTGTGGGTTACCCTATCTATTGACCATAGGGCATACCTCCTACAAATTTCTCTAGAAATCATGAAAACTTACTTCAGATTCGTGTTCAACTCGCAAAATTGGGTCATATAGGTTATT